ATTCGAAGATTTAGGTATCTTCACATTTGTTAAAGAGAGATATGGTACTTGGAATAAAGGATGTACGGGCTATCTTAGTTTTCACAATTGGAACTTTGTAGCGGCGGCCTGAAGGGAGGAGGTTGTATACCGATTTAAGTAGTGAGTACGGTCAGATATGATTTTGACAGCTTGATTCACGATTTGCCGCTCATATATTGATGATAAACATTCAAATCTGACTCCTGCGATTTTACTTGCAGTGTTAACAATTTTGTCTATTTTAGATTTGAGATGAACTGAGAGAGACCCGTACCAACAATGGAAGGAAAATGTTAAAATACTCTGAATAAATGCTGCATAAAAAGATGACATCACAGATGGGTTAACATTAAAAGATCTCAGTTTACGCATGAGATGAAGACGCTGTTGACACTTTTTGTATAGGGCTTCAGTGTTGGAGTGTTAATATACCACGTCACTGATTGGGTTGACAGGGATAACATTCCACGTCACTGGGTAAGTCTTCTGATGGCGGATGTAAGACGAGCTGTTGCACTGTAATCAATCTGTGACCTCAGTCTGTCTTGTAATGAATAATGTATGGCAGAGTTTGGTGTCGGCAGTCTGGTGGGTGAGCTCCATCGGTTCCTGGACTTCAACAGATCAGGAAAATGCATTCGAGGTTTGTGTTAGATTTGCGTAAAACAACACCAAACGATCAAAGTCATGTATTATTTAGAGAAGCGGCTTAATAACGACCTATAAACAGTGGAAATACTATGATTAAGAAGGGTGAACTCTATGTGTAAAATATCAATACAATAATACCTCAAGAGATGACTATCGGGTGGTCAGACTCGCCGACTTGTTCGAATGTCTTGGCGTCATCACTGGAATGTCTGGTCCTCGTTGGATCACATACACATTGTCGTCATATTTTGAGTTACGTGTTGAATAGACAGAGAAAACACCTTCACAAGCATCATACCTTCGCGCTAATCAGAAGGAAATGCATATATGTGAGTTAGGTTATTTTCGAAGCATTACAGTTACAAGATTCTTGGAAAGCGTTCGTTGGCTTATCTTGATCCGATGCGGAGCGAGTTTGATACGTGGAGTGGAAAGCCTTCAAAGGGTGGTCCTTCGTAAAAGTGTTCTTTAATGGATTGTGTACAAACCTTAATATACATTGAATTCCAAACGTGCGTATGAAATAGCGAATTATGCAATCCGTTCTGTGGCTTTGTTTCTGGGACATTTTTCTTCAGACTTCTGGGACCGCTCTCAACAGTTTGGTCAGTTGAGGGGTGGGGTCTGGTTACAAGGCACCCTTTGGTGTCTTTGCTTTCGCAGCATTGAAAGGTTCGGACATAATGTTCATGCCTCAAGATAAATAGGAGAGTGCTACACTGAAACGATGTTTGCAATCCTGACACTGGGCGAGGGAAGTGTTTACGATCGCAGGGGATGCTACATTCTCTTCCCACAGAGGTTGAGTAAGAAGAGAATGGGGTGCTACTGATACAATAGTTTTCATTTCACAATTAAAATGACCAGCTGAAATATATACACATGAACATGAATTAAGCACTATCTGAATCCAAGGGCACTATGTTTTATACATGGTCCACTTAGCGATCATACCCTGGCATACTGAAGTGCATGCATGTGCTTCACCATGTATCTCAAAAGCTATAGGTCAAATGTTCACGTTCTGGGTATAGTCACTAGGCACATTAGGGTATAAATGTCTTAACTGCTGAATGTGCACTACAGTGTTCTGAACTGATTAAAAACACGACAGCACTTAAACATTACAGTACCCGGGACACTCAATGGACAATGTTATCAAGTACTGGATACCGCCGTCGTGCCACAGTTTGATAGCTATCTCCTTGCTAGCCCTCCGACATTCATGGATGACAAGGCCCACTTGCGGAACAACGCCATCTAAACATAACCGTGGTGAGCACGGAGCCCCGATATGAACCACTATTGAACATACTTTTTTGGCTTTTATTAGATGTCATGTTCGGGCTGGAGATCCTCCTGTTCGAAGTCTGCAGGAATTGACGCAGACACTCCATGATGAATGGCAGAGGGTTCCCGCCCTGAGAATGTGACGCATCATTGACATTATGTGGAAGCTGCGGTGGCTTATCGGGTTCTGGGTCTGACTTTGTGTGCTGGCGATTAGGTGCCCGACTCTGAGGGTGTGGGTCCAAATCCCGGATGTGCTCAACCCAACCAAAGTAATAGAATCTGTACTAAGCGTTCGGTTTCAAATGAAATTAAGAGACTATCAATTCGGTCTAACATTCATGTGATGTTCAAACACAGTACGTTCATCTCCTAAATATAACATGTTACATTTGACCACTTTCTAAATGGCATTGTGTATTCATTATGATGCAGCGATTGGGAGATGTTAGCTGTACAAGAGGTGGCTACATTGGGTAGTGATGAGGTCACCAGTGGTGGGTCATATAAACACAACACCCATGATCTTTCTTCTTATTTGAGTGTATGCCTGTGTGTGTGAGTGAATGAGTGAGAGAGAGTGGGTAGGGTATGGCATATGTGAGGACAATCATATAATTTTCTGACGAAAACTGAGCTTGAAACAGTAAAGCTGCCATCCTCTGTTTTACTTTAATGGACCCAAATCATATGTTTTTGATACAATATTACACATTGACAGTTCAAAGCATGATCATGAAACTTTATAAGATAAATACAATTCTCCAAATTAGTTCAGGACCATTATATTCGTTCACATTACCACAGTGAATCTGTCCTTTGTTGTTGTTTAACGCCACACTCAGCAATATTTCAACTATAAACAGGAGGACAATCCAGTCACTGAAATCAACAACACTGATCTAACCAAACTGTGACATGCATCAGTCCAACCATCAAATCTTATATTGTCGTCTCTAATGATAAGCATGGGTTCATTACTGAAGACTGTTTGAATTTCTTACTAGTTAGTGAACCTTGCCATGACAGAATAACTAGGGTAATACGAAAGAATTAGGTGATAATGAACTTCTTTTGTAGTATAGTTAAAAGAAACGTATCTTCAGATGTACTGACACTATAACATGTTTCTTAAATGGCAGAATACCTTCTTTAAACAAAAACATTCTGCACCTTCTTGAAGTCATCTGGTGCTGCAAAGTTGCAGATATGATATGGTGAGACACATGTTTATATACATAGTATGACATACTTCTGTACATGGCATTTAGAAGCTGGTGAAGAGGAACACATTTATGGATTGACAACTTCTTTATTTTAATAGATGTGTTCAGTGTTGATGCTAACCCCATCATCCAGCAAGTACTACTGCAATAGACGTGTTCAGTGTTGATGCTAACCCCATCATCCAGCAAGTACTACTGCAATAGACGTGTTCAGTGTTGATTCGTGTTGATGACTAACCTTGATCATCATCAGCAAGTACTGATGCACCCCATCATCCAGCAAGTACTACTGCAATAGACGTGTTCAGTGTTGATGCTAACCCCATCATCCAGCAAGTACTACTGCAATAGACGTGTTCAGTGTTGATGCTAACCCCATCATCAAGCAAGTACTACTGCAATAGACGTGTTCAGTGTTGATGCTAACCCCATCATCAAGCAAGTACTACTGCAATAGACGTGTTCAGTGTTGATGCTAACCCCATCATCCAGCAAGTACTACTGCAATAGGCGTGTTCAGTGCTGATGCTAACCCCATCATCCAGCAAGTACTACTGCAATAGACGTGTTCAGTGTTGATGCTAACCCCATCATCCAGCAAGTACTACTGCAATAGACGTGTTCAGTGTTGATGCTAACCCCATCATCAAGCAAGTACTACTGCAATAGACGTGTTCAGTGTTGATGCTAACCCCATCATCATTAAGTACTACCAATAGACGCAGTTAAGAAGTGCAAGCAAGTACTACTGCAATAGACGTGTTCAGTGTTGATGCTAACCCCATCATCCAGCAAGTACTACTGCAATAGACGTGTTCAGTGTTGATGCTAACCCCATCATCCAGCAAGTACTACTGCAATAGACGTGTTCAGTGTTGATGCTAACCCCATCATCCAGCAAGTACTACTGCAATAGACGTGTTCAGTGTTGATGCTAACCCCATCATCCAGCAAGTACTACTGCAATAGACGTGTTCAGTGCTGATGCTATCCCCATCATCCAGCAAGTACTACTGCAATAGACGTGTTCAGTGTTGATGCTAACCCCATCATCAAGCAAGTACTACTGCAATAGACGTGTTCAGTGTTGATGCTAACCCCATCATCCAGCAAGTACTACTGCAATAGACGTGTTCAGTGTTGATGCTAACCCCATCATCAAGCAAGTACTATTGCAATAGACGTGTTCAGTGTTGATGCTAACCCCATCATCAAGCAAGTACTACTGCACCCCATCATCAAGCAAGTACTACTGCAAGAAAGAAGTTGGCAATCCATAAAACTTGTTCTTCTTCTTGTTAAGACTTGTATTTACATTTAAAGTACCAGGATGCATGCCACCTTTAAACGTTTCTGCTCACTGTAAGATAGTAGTTTTGTGAATCTGTGTAGAAGTCCGTCATTTCTGCAACTTTCAGTCCGGTTTTCCATCACAGAACTGCTAGACCTAACACAAAGACATGTGGAAGTATGAGAGGCAGAATTTATGTGTTTGAAAGGGATGGGTTAGTTAAAAGGAACAACATCAGTCTAATATATATGATAATTTTGAAGCTAAGTGTACCATTTTAAAACATTATCACATGGTCTGAGAAAAGACTGTCGTTCTTTGTTTACACTGCATAGGCAGACCCAGAGAGAGTGAGGGGGGTGTTGCAGGGGTCCTGATCCAGACTCCCTTAACACTGTTAACCAGCACTGCTGTGTGTGTGCATGCATGCATGAATCAAATATTTTGATAGGTTTTGGTGTTGGTTTGTGGAGAGCTGTGAACAAAAATCAACATACTATAGATGAAAAAATACCACAATGCTATTGTAAAGATTTATCACACTGCAGAACAATGTAGGGAAGAGCATAAGAAGTATACAGCTTTTCACATCATGGTGGAATAATGAACAAGAATGTCTTAAACAATTGTTGTTGATAGAACACTTGGAAACACAAATTTTATGCATAACACTGATATCTATAGAACAAAAAGAAGACAGTTTAAACAGTTAAACAAAAACTAATGTATGCTGAAGAGGTGCCAATGGTTTCAGACTCATTAATGCAGGTGAAAGAGAAAATTAACATTTTGTGATGTTATTGGGATGAAAATCAGTCTGAACAAAAATAATATCATTGTTTTCAGAAATGCTGACCCTCTTTGACAATATGAAAGATGGTTCTTGAAAGGGCACCAAACGTAACTAACTACTAAAGATATTTTGGTGTGGTCTTCTCCCCTATAACTATACATGTATAATTCTTATATTCTGACTAAGAATAAATCTCTTTTTGTATTATTACATAAATATATGTATTGTTGGCTTGAAGCCTGATTACACAATAAAGTCTGTCTGTCTGTCTATTGCTGGTGTATTTGTTTACCTATATCTGGTTTAGATTCCAAGTAACTATTCACATCAGAAAGGGCATGTTGCATCTCTCTGAACCTGGCTGTGTCACAAGCTTCATTGATCGGCAACCATTTATACTCTGTGTGCTCTTCTGATAACATAACTGGATCGTCTGGCTTCTTCAACTCAGCAAGCCAGTACACAACCTTTTGGGCTTCCCTCGTACATCATACTTAAGTGTTTTCTGATAGTCTTCATAAATGTTCAGTTGCTCCTTTTTCAAACCTGCTTCCTCCGCTGTTTCGCGTAAGGCAGTTTCAAATTCTCCCTCTCCTTCATCGACGTGACCTGCAATTACAAATGGTTAACATACTGTTCCCAACACGAAGGGTTCTACACTAGTTTCATAGAGGGTTCTCCTGGATAAATATTATATATTTACGTAGTTACCTCCATACTTAACATGACACATTTTCAGGTCCAACAAAATACAAGAGGTCAATGTGAGCATTGTTAAAGTCTTATTCGTAATTTATTACAGAAAAGAAAACTTCTCATAGCTTTTATCATCTTTAGCATGATGATACACAACGTACCTTTTGGGGGTGTCCAGTGTCTACTACCATAAGACGCTCGCAGGAGTAAATATTGGATCTGTTTTTCAAAACGTCTAAATATGATAAAGCCAGCTGCAACTACAACGTTAGATGTCATGGTTTGATCATGCTCCTCGAGAGTCGTGCATATATCATATAAATGCTACAAACGCTGTATAAGGCAAAACAAACTATGTACAACTTCCAACACTGCGGTTCATTTGTATCATATAAAGCAAATAACATTCGTCACTGCATGGAGCTTGCAGGCTCGAGCCTCATATATTCGTAGAGAATTATAACAATGAGGGAAGTGTGTGTTTCGTATTATCGTAACCAAACCCGTAACATACCGATCTTTTAATAAAACTCATTTTAATTTTATAGAATTTTGTAAAATTAAAGATTTAATACAAGAAATGTTATATTGAAGATAACTTTATCATTATTTAAACTAACATGAACGTCAATAGTCGTTACAGTAATAGTATACAAGATTAGTTTAATAATTGTGTATTTTTAATGAAGTTATAATATATCGTGTATAGGTTGATAATTGGTCGAATTATTATCAAGTTTAAAATATGAATGTAGTTTATACAGACATCTCACTTACACGTTATCACCATCGGCGCGGAATTCAAAATGGCGGCTTGAGTTGTAAACAAACTAACAGTGGCGATATAAAACTTCATTTTTTATCTATATTTTAGAGTAGTGTGTTTCAGCCATAATAAAGTGTGCTCACTGTTTCTCTATAATAAATCGCTGAAACATTCTAAGACGTGCTTGTTGAATCGTAGAGGAAAGCATATAAGATTTGGTCCAATGGCTGAAGGCTAAAATAACAAGCCTAAACATGAATATCACTACATACAGTTCGATCATTCATTGTGTATTGTTAACTTCCCGTAGAAGATGGCCGAGGACATGTACAACACATGAGTTCTGTAACATGACTACCTACGGAGATACACCTAAAACTTAGTCAAAGGTGATTGTTCAAGCACTTCTAACTTCAGGATGTCATTGCAGTCAGTTATTTTAGGTTTTATGAACATAAAAACTTTGGCATCTTTCCAGGTCTGTTCGTACTATATCTACAGGAAGTTGGCTCAAATGATGTGTATGTCATCCTTATTAATAACGACTGGCACTGAAGGCATGTCACATTGATTATTTCTCTCTTTTTCTTTCACCATGATATTGATAACTATAGTGCACTGTCCCATGTGGTCCCGTAAGTTACTGGTATATGCAGTTATTAGTAAGTACAATTATTTCTTGTTAGTTTCCAAGGGTTGTCATTATATATGTTACTATTGGTAAGATGAAATGCAAAAATGACATGGTGTTTTGAAATCTACTTATTGTTTGAACTTTTGTCAAATACTGTTGTGTCGAAGTTCAAGGAACCTGCACAAATGCTTCAAGCTATCTGCGGTTTGGCACAATGCAAAATGATAACAACAGGAAAACACATTGACCAAACTTTTATTTCAAGACAAGTGTATGTTTGAAGGCACAAAGTTTGACACAACATTGTTTGACTGTTAATAGTATAATGTGGCTTACATTTCTTCTGGACAGTATTTAAATACATTAGTATCATTTGCAGAAACCAAACTTTCAAGATCAAAATGGGGACTTTATATGAGTGTCTTCGAGAAGCAAGATTGGAGAAATATTATCCAACTTTTCGTGCTAACGGAATAACACGTTCAGAGACTTTGTCAAGATTGAGTCTACATGATTGCACAGTAATGGGAATAACTTCAGTAGATGATAGACGTCGGATGACAGAGCTGATAAACATAATAAAATCTGTTCATAATGCAAGTAGAACACAAATCTCTGATCCACAACTATCAAGTAATATCTCCCGGAAAACGTCACAACCCAGGAGGGCGAGTAGAAGTCCCAATCCAGCAGCAGGACAAAGTGGTGTATCCCGAGGCCTGGAAGCAACAAGAGACGTCACCGTGACAGACAGAACACCAAACTTTTCTGCTGCCTCCTATGTTGATATGTTACAGTTACTGACAGAATCAAGTTCTGATGAATCTAGTGATGAAGCAGTTCAATCAGACGAACAGAATATTCCACGTCATGTAGCAAGACCTAGCACAGTTTCAAAGCAAACTCGAGGACAGGTAGAGAGAGTCAAGCACACAGGGTATAACTATGGCGTTCCTAAAGGAACACTAAGGACTAAGTCTAAACCAGCATCATCCACACCATCGCGAGGTGTGGAGGATAGGATTCGTGTTTGTGTGAGGAAAAGACCCGTATCACACAGAGAGGAGAGGCATGGAGACGATGATATATTACAGACTGAGGGGACAAATTCTGTTGTTGTTAATGAACCAAAGCAGGCAGTTGATCTCACAGCCTTCACTTTACAGGTAAATGAATATTTATTTATGAAAAGTATCCATAAACTATTTATTCAGAAAGTTATTTAATATTCATTGTGTAGCAGATAAAGTGGACAGTTAGTATGGTGATTAAGGACAAGGCATGTTTTGTAATTCAGAATTGCTGAAAATATATAGAGTAATCAAATGTTGTCATACCATTTTCATGATGGTATTAACCAGGGGGATTTCTCAGTAGATGAAAATATTCCTGTGTCAATTTTGAAGTCATTCAGGCCAAGGTTAAAATGAATAATGATGATACAAGAATTCCTGAACCTCAAGTTTGATAAATCTGACTGTTGTCCAAGCAATGAGTTGATGTGATGATGAGCCTCATGTCCTGAGCGGTCGTATTGTATAAGCTGATCTCATATATCCTAACTGCATCCTAAAAAACTCTATCAAAATGTCATGTCCGGTACATGAGCCAGACCAGCAACCAATGATCAGTCCTCGGTATTGGAATATCAATGAAAAGCTATTGAAGTACTTCAGTTAATCCTGTTTTTACACTCATATAATAAAACATTTTCATTGTATTACTGGACTTTTGTTTGTGATCTAGTTGAATACTTTCACTCAAAATTTCATTCAGGTCAATAAATTTATATTAATTGTGACAAAATCGTCTGTCCCTCCAGAAATTATAACCTCCATTCACCTCATTTCATTCCTTTTTGCATACCTTGACACTGGTATCAATGACATGCATGTGATCAGTGTTCAGGGATTTTTTTACGCCAAGACTTCAAACAACCATAAGATACAGTGCACAAATGGGAATTTCCTCAGAAACCCTATTCCCTGGTGTTAATACATGTATACTAATGTTCACAAACCATTTAAACTGCAGAGAGGAAACTTTGCAAGTATACAGAATTCTGTCAAACCATACAGCTCTGATATACAGACTGAACTAGGGTGTATATAAGCATCAAATGATTTAAGATACATTTTGGGTGAAATATCATGAAGCTTAGAGTGATTTCAAGTTATTCATGGTTATGATGTTTCATTCTATTTATTTCATTGGTGAGGGCACAAATTCCCAGCCATCTGAGGTGCTATAATTTGGTATGTCGAGTTGAGTTCATTGGGCAAGCCACAAACCTATGATCATTGTTTTAAATCATGGTTTGCTGTGATTTGTCAACATGATACCAGTACTTGTAGCCTTCACCAAAGTGGTAGGTGTCTGACACATCTATCCCTCAGCATTAAACATTAAAGCAGCATTAAACCTAACTCACTTTTTCATGATGAGTTTATGGAAATTATTTCTAATTTTGTTTCTGTTCCAGCATGAATTTTTCTTTGATGAAGTATTTGATGAAAACTGTTCCAATGAAGATGTATATGTGCGAGCTGCAAGACCTTTAATCAACAGTGTATTTAATAAGTAAGATAAACCATGTTCTTTTTAATTACTTTCAAAGCAAACAAATACATGAAAACTTCATTTGACTAGTTGTGGGTAAATAGATGTTCCTCACTCGTTTCTTATCAGTCATGTTGATACTGTCAATAATGTCTTTTAGTATTACTGATAAAATGCACCTGTGTCCATCATAATGGTGTTAAACACTTAACATGCTTTTCCAGGGTTCATATCTATAACACAAGCTATAGAGTTGTTTGGAATCTATTTGACGAGTTCAGATACAACTAATGACACACTTCTTTTTAAGTTACTTTGTCATCAAATTAAGCATGTTTATTAAACATGACAGATCAACAGAAATTATTATCCATATTGTAAATATTATATTCAGAAATGTGGAACCTTTGGCCAGAACAATACACAATACATTTATGACATAGAGTCAAATATCTTGCATCCAAGTTTGTTGAGATAAGCACTCACACATAATAAACGTCTACAGATTTGTGTGAAACATCAGGCAGTGTTTTTACAAGCAAGCAGACATTGCATCGCCAAACAGACTTTATTATATATCATTTCATAAGTCATTTGTTCTTTATTGCACTATTTAGAATATTGCATAAGGCCTGAGAAATATCTAGGACACCTGAAAATAATATGCTCACGAAAACATTCTTCAAATTGTATGGATTTCAGCATTAAAGATTTTTCCGAACTTGTTTTCCCCACAGTGGTAGTGCCACCTGCTTTGCCTATGGTCAGACTGGGGCAGGGAAGACCCACACCATGATGGGGAATGAGAATGTACCTGGATTATACCTGCTGGCGTCCACAGACATTTTCTCCATCATTGAATCCAAGCAGTATGGGGATGGCCTCCATGTGTGGGTCAGCTTCTTCGAGATCTACTGTGGCCAGCTCTTTGACCTCCTCAACAGGAGGAACAGGTAACAGTTTGTTTCATTGTTAGCAGTTGTGGGGGAGGGTTTTGATAGCCACTGTATGATATTAGATCTGATATTAATATAAATATTTAATATCTCTTTAAAACATTAGTTTGTTTCCCACAAACGTACTGACAGATCTTAAACATTGTGTTAGGGTAAGTATTTGACCTCCTTTAGTTGTTAGTCACGAACATTTTTTAAGTCTGGTCATGTTTATTTCTAGACTCCATGCACGTGAAGATGGCTCTAATCACGTGTGCATCGCAGGACTGATGGAGACTGAAGTCAGTGATGTAGCAGGGCTTGTCAAGGTAGATTATACTATAGTCCCTGAACCACGTTTTTTCCCTACTGCCTAGTTTACCCTGCAATGCTAAAGCCATAAATGAATCTAGCCTAGATCTCCATCTCACTATGGCTCCTATTCAATTTAAACAGGTTTATTTGTTATTATCAAAAATTTTTAACTTACCTTACCATAGGTCTTATGCATATTACCTCAAGCTCCCTTAAAGAGATCAGACAGTCGTTGATTCGCCATTCTATAGAACGGCCCCCTCGTGTATCGACGAGTGTACAGGCAACGGAAGTGACGTGATCTCCCCTCCCGCGCAAGCATGGTCCATCCAAAATCACTTTTACTTCAAGCGTCTTGCTTGTCAGACGTTTTTGTTTCGCTAAGTTTTCAGACACTTACTAATAGATTTCAGATATTAAAGTTATTGGTATGTATGTTTTTCTATCTTATGTCTCTTCTCTGTGGGTGAAGAACATAATTTACAAGTAACTTCACTTACCTGGCTACCTCGTGTTTATGTTTTTCACTTCGGCTTGGGGTGTGTCCCCACGTTCCGAGTTTTTTCCACGTGGCATGTTTGGGTGTTTTGATACCTCTAGGGTTCTTCCACCTTCTGTTTCATGCTTGTTTTTGTGTACCTCCTTTTTTCTTGCCTAATTTGTGTGTTTTTTCACGCTTTTTCCGGCTCAGTGTGGGGGCAGCCATCTTGGTTGTTTACACGACTGTCCCACTTACTTGGGCGTGCCCATTCTTGTGGGAGGGGTGCTTCCATTTTTTCGTCTGCAGGGGTTGTTTCTAGGTTTTTTACGTTTCACATTTGTGTGTTACAGCTTTTGGTGTGCATGACCCGGCAGTTTTGTTGCATCTGCAAGGTGCAGAAGTCTGCCAAGGACCCACACCCCTGGTGCCCAGACTGTCGCGACTGTTGCCTGTTCCATTGTGGCGCTGTCACTTTTGTACTCGCTGTCCGTCGCAGATTTCAAGGCCTACCTCAGCTAAGAAGAAACGCTTGTCACAGCGGAGGAGGAAAATGTCTTCCCCTGTTTCTTCTGTGGACTCGGTCTTCTCCCCTCGTCGCCCGGTCGGACGTTCTTCTCCTGTGATAGATCAGCCCGTCCACCCCTGCGCCTCGTTTGCTGGCGCCTGAAGCCAAAGCGCTTCGTCTGGCGCCTTTGTTGACCTATCCCACCCGGACGCTTTGTCGCATCCAGAGGTTCAGAAGTTGCCGGACGCTCCTTTTTGCGGCAGCTGCGGGCCAAACTAGCACCGTTCCAGCGCCGTTGCCTAGCTTTGTCCCTGCGCCCGGCGCCTGTGGCACCCAGATTCTCCAGTTGCTGACTTGTTGCTTCAACCAGCGTCGATGCCTCGCCCGGCAGCCCATCGCGGACGCCGGGCGCCTATGCCGGCGCCGACGCCGACGCCGCGCTGGCCGACGCCTGTACCGGCGCCAGCGCCAGCCAACTCCGGCCTTTGGCGAACTACGTATCCCCAGGAAGGCTACAGTGTCTAGAGAGGAGAACCTACAACGTCAGTTAATGGAAGAAGCGTTCCCGGCGTCAGGGCGCCGGCGTTCCCATCGTTCTCGGCGATCTCGTTCCAGGTCTCCTCGGCAGCATCATCGGTCTAGGAGTCCTCGTCTTAGTTCGGATACTTCTCTTAAGCTGTCGTCGGTCTGACTCAAGGTCTCCGCTCTCCCGTGCGTTCCAAGGATAGGGAGCGCCACGGATCACCGATGCGTGGTAGGCGATACCGTCGGTCCGTTCAAGGTCACCTCCTGTTAAGCGCTTGCCGCGGCGTCCGTTCCCGACAGTTACTTTGAGTGCTGCTTCTCAGTTGTCATCGGTCGCCCACTCGAAGCCCACCGGGTCAGCGATTTACTGCTCCTACCGTGTCCTGGGAGGACACTGAGGAGCTATTTTCTCCGATTATAATGAGGAAATGTTGCAAGAGGATGATGATGATGGGGGCACCTACCTCCCTCTCTCTGCTGTGTTCGACTGGATTGCCGACAGACTGCGGATTGTCCTTCTCCCTCTTCAGGTTCGGGCCGACCGAAGGCTATTCGGTCTTCTCGGAGTTACTCCTCCCGCCTCACCCGATGGTGGCCGATGCTGTGGCTTCTTTGGGCGCTGATTTTGCTACTTTGTCTCTCAATACCACGATAAAGGCTCCTAAGTCACGCCAAAGGAGACTATAAGATTCATAGTTTGGATTTTGCCGATGGAGGCGCGGCTCATGACGAGTCCCTCAAAGCGCTTTATCGGCTTCCCCACAGGCATCCTACCGAGTGCAGGACTCCAAGATGTTGGCCATTGATGCAGAACTCAAGCGGATGTTGAAGCCGGTATCAGCGTTGGCCTCGGCAACCGGCTGCTGCTTGGGATCTGACGGAAGACAACACGTCAAGGTTAGAACATCTTACCACCCTGTTTCAAATGGCAGGGCAAGGTGTTGCATGATTTGCTGGCGCACCTCCGGGGCTCTCTGGCCATGACAACGGTTGTTCGGCGGATGGGTTTCCTGGAGCCCTGTTCTTGGCAGGAAGAGTTTAAAGGAAACTGTTAAGAGCCCCTTTAAGCGTCTCGTTTCCTCTTTAATGGCGGCATTCGAGGTGTATAAGGAACATGCAGAGCTTACCAATCACGGAGGTTTCTTTGTCTCACGTTCGAAGCTTTGAGTTCGGCCTTTAAGAGGGCAGATCATCTGCAAGGGGTAGAGGCAAAGCGCCCGTTACGTCCCGAAGAGACTCCGTCCCGCGAAGCCTCTGGCAGAAGGGCGTGGCCGTGGCAGATCGAACCTGTTTTTCAGCACCGTCAGCAGGATCGTCCCGGGACCCCCTTCGGCGCCCGGCAGGTAGTAGGGGGCGCCCTTGCTTCGGTCGCTGAAGTTGCGACCCAACACGACTGGGACCTCCGCCCCAGTCGTGCGGTTCGTCCCTACTCCAGTAGGCGGGAGACTGGGGATCTTCTGGCCCAATTGGACAATCCTGGAAGACCCGTTTATCACCAACATTCTCAGGACCGGTTACAAGCTGCCAATCGCCGTGTCGCCGCCTCTGACTTCAACGCCCCAGTCACGTGTGTATGCTCCAGACCAACAGTTACTGCTAGCAGACAGCATCCACACTCTGTTACGCAAACAAGCTATAGAGACAGTGCTAGACCCCCGACAGTCCCCGGGGTTCTACTCACCAATCTTCCTGGTTCCCAAGAAGGACTCAGGGAAACTACGCATGATTCACAACATGGCAGTTTTCAACCACCTTTATCTTTCGGAACCGCCTCACTTCCGCATGGTGTCCCTGGAACAGCTACGAGCCAAGCTTGCGCCCAGGGTCTGGTTGGCCAGCCTCGACCTTCAGGATGCCTACCTGCATGTGCCCATTTACCACCGTCACAGAAAGTACCTGAGGTTCTTTTTCAACGGGTCCCACTACCAGTGGAAAGTGCTTCCATTTGGAATTTCCACGGCCCCGTGGCTTTTTACTCGGATTACCTCGCCGATCACCCGGTTCCTCCATCTCAGGGGCATCGACTTCGACCCTTATATAGACGACTGTCTCATGAACCACCTCGACCCTCAGTTGCTTCGCAAACAGATGCACTTTGCCATTCATCTCTTGCAGCAACTGGGATGGATTATCAACATAGACAAATCCCACCTGGAGCCGTCCCAGGAACTGACGTTTATAGGAGGCCTCTTCCTGACACATTGCGACCTTGTCAGGATTCCGCTAGATCGCTGGAGAAAGATTGTCAGTTTCGCCAACCGAGGTCTATCCCAGCCGCTCGTGCTCAGGGAGTGGCAGTCCCTCTTAGGTCTCCTCACCTCAGCCCAGGACTTGACGCTCAGAGGTCGCTTGATGCTTCGGCCGTTACAGCGCTTCCTGTTGCCTTACATCCAGGCGGACGACCTTCAGTTGAGGTTCCTTTTGCCCCTGCATCTCCACGCTTACCTCCGTTGGTGGACTGTCGAGTCGAACGTCTGCGCAGGAGTCTCCTTGACAGAGTTTGTTCACGATCACGAACTGTTCGTAGATGCGTCTCTTCAAGGTTGGGGTGCTCACCTCAACGACCAGACCACCTCGGGGCTGTGGTCAGGCACCGAGCTAGGATGGCACATCAACAACTTGGAGCTGCAAGCAGTCATTTTAGCGGTTCGACACTGGGTGCCTCTGTTGCGGAACACCAGGCTCCTGATAGCGTCGGACAATTCCACGGTGGTGTGGTTGATTCACAATCAGGGAACGACCAGGTCCAAACAGTTGTTGGAGCAGACGTTCCAGCTGGCCAGTCTCCTGGACGACAATGGCATCAGCGCCAGAGCCCGACACATCCCAGGGTGCAAGAACGTTTTGGCAGACGCTCTCTCAAGGCCGGGCAAACCGTCTCCAACAGAGTGGATGCTACATCCAGAAGCGTTCAAACTTCTTTGTCACAGTCACGGCCGCCCTCTGATCGACCTGTTTGCGACTCGCTTCAACACACAGCTGCCGTTGTACGTGTCTCCGATTCCAGATCCAGCGGCATGGGCGGTCGACGCCATGTCCTTGTCGTGGGAGGGTCTGGACGTGTACGCCTTTCCACCACCAGTTCTGTTGCCAGCGGTAATAGCAAAGGTCAAGCGGACAGAGACGATTCGTCTGCTTTTGGTCGCGCCTTGGTGGCCAGCCAGAACCTGGTTCCCAGATCTGCGCCGTCTCGCCGAAAGAAGTCCGCAACAGTTACCAGACTGGCCTCACCTGCTCAGGCATCCCCACAGTCGACAGTGGCATCCCGATCCGACTCGGTTTCATCTGTGCGGTTGGATCATCTGCAAAAGGCGCTGAAGGCCAAGGGCTTCTCCACGGGTGTCGCCAAGGTTATTGCTCGTGCTCATCGAGTCTCCACAAGATCACTCTATGATGATAAGTGGGTTTCTTTTGAGAAGTTTTGTGCACAGAAGTCCAAGGACCCGTTGAAGGCTTCTCCTCAGTTTATAGCAGAGTTCCTTCTCTTTCTTCGGAAGTCCCGG